CTCACTCTCTCTCTCTGACGACCCGGCCCCGCATGTCAGCGACCCAAAACAGAGCGCATGGCGGTGCCGCTGACTCCGGTCGGCCAAAACGCACCGACGGTGAGACTTCGGCGAGGTGGACAGCACCATCATGATCAACATCACCCCGCGAACCTATCCCGACCCTTAGAACAGTAGCAGGCACACCGGTGGAAGCTCCACGCCAACCATGGCGGACACGGCGGCGCATGGCACAACTCCGGCTACAACGCGGTAGAGACTAAAGCGGAGAGAGCATCACGCTCAGGAACTCACCACGAACACGACAGTATGCTCGGTGAAGGTGGAGACGGACTGGAGTGGCCTGACCACGGTGAGGCAAGGTCAACAGTGGTTCGGCCGGCCATGAGGAAGAAGAGCGTGGACAGCGAGTTCCCGGCAATTTCAGGCGACCAAGGTTGGCTAGCTGTGTTCGCAAGGAAGAGACAAAGCTGGGACGGCCTTTACCGAGAGGGCAACAGCGCTAGGTCGACGGCAAAAGCTCAACGGAGCTATGGCAACGGCGGCGGTGGAAAACAGAGTAAGGAAGCAGGGACAAACGGCGGCGACTCAGTCCTTATAACGCGGCTCAGAAGCAAGGTGAAGCCACGCCATGGCCTTCACCGCGCCAGCACGACGTCGAAAATGGCCACGCGCGCGCCTGGAAGCAAGCCGAAGGTTGCCGGCGATGTAGCAAGAGCGGTGAACACTGTTCATCAAATTTACAGAATTGCCATCCAGTTTGAAACTCAAATTACTCCCAAATTTTTGTAACAACTCAAAAATCTCCAAAACTAAAAGTTGTTCAAAATCAAAAGTTCTACAACTTTGATTTTATAACCATATCCAAATTCGGTCAACATTTTGAAATGCAAATTTGAATTCGAAAAGGGGACATTTAAGGAATTTCGCCTTTTCAAATTACTTCAAATTTTACTAAACAACTTGGAAAACTCCAAAAACCAACTTTGTACAACTCAACAAGCTCTACAATTTTGCTTTAAGGCTCAACCCCAAAATGTGCTTTGATTTTGAAATGGGTTTTCCAGGTCAAAACTTAAAGGCCGAAATTAGGGTTTTCGAAAATCCCAATCCAAACAAAACTTGGAACATGATTCAAACACTACAAGGCAACACTTATAATACAAATATAAACTTGTTTTAGTGAATGCATATCAAAGTTCTCAATATGACCAATGCCTTGCAATGCATATGATGGCATGTCTTGTTTTTAATATTTAAACACCCGGGGTGTTACAGAGTCTGGGATCTCTTCGATGAGGCACCCGGTGAACTCTGGCAAGGGGGCGACTGCGCCGTTCTTTATGTAGAACCAATGCAAATGCCACCCCTTGTTGGAGGTTGACAGATGTATCGGCGGGTACTCGCTGTCTCGGTTGTTGCGGAGCTGGATGCCGGCGCATCCCATCGGCGTGTTCAGCTCCTGCTTCTTCTCCCACTTCTTCAGGAGGGTGACGGCGAAGAAGTACCATCACAGGTCAAAGTGGGCACTAATCCCCAGGAATCCCTCACATAGGGCGACGAACGCCGCAATGTGCTGGATTCCATTGGGATTAAGGTGTTGCGGCTCTACCTTGTAGTAGTGCAGCAACCCCCGAACGAACTTGTGGGTGGGGGTGGTGAGTCCCCGCTCGTGGAAGTGAGCGAAGAACATGATGTAGCCATCAGGTGGCGATGGCACATCCTCCTCGTCGGGCAGCCGCCACTCCTCGGTGGCGGTCCGCGTGCAGAGAAGACCGCGGTGGACAAGGCCTTCCATGCGCTGGAGGGTGATGTCAGAGCGGCACCATAGCTCCATTGGAAGATGGGGGTGGGAGGATTCAAACTCAACGGCGGCAAAGAAGCGGATGCAGGGGGCTTAGGCGATTGGCGGCGGAGGTTGCAGATGCGAAGGCAAGGAGGCAAAGTACGAAACCCTAGGGGCGAACCCTTTGGTTTTATAGGGGCGACGGATGCGAGGAAACCAACCATCCGCCTGGATCTTCGCACCTGCCACGATCTGCCACAATGTCACGCCAAGGGATATGCGCACGCAATCCCTATCCTTTCCTTTGGGAAACTCGCCGGACGTTTCGCCTCCCCAGACGGACCGGGACTCATTGCGAATAAGAGTAATACGGATCAAAAAAGTGTTTCTACGGCCCGCCTGGGCCTAGGAGTCCGAGGGCTGGCCCATCAACGGTTTCGACGGCCGTCCCAAGGCCCCCTTAGGATAAGGAATGGGCCCACAAGCGGCCAGTACTCAGGCGCGCGAGCGTCACGAGGATCTCAGCCCTCGATCGAGTCTTAGTAAAAGCTTACCCTTGCCGAATCCCCGTGAACGGGATACAGGGACCCCAATCGAATTATACAGCTAACAAACCATCAAGTCTCACGGCCACACCCACGAAGGGTCCGACCTCGTCAAGGAGAAATCACCATCTTCAGGACACACCGTGGGCAACAACAGAGGGCCAGGGCTCTCCGAGTTCTCTCTCTTGGAAAAACTTCCGAAGGAGTATTCTACTCCTCCGTAGGTTCAGGGGCAACACCCACCGGGTGCGCTCGCGCGCACCCGCTGGTAAGTCAAAAAATCCCCAAGGTGATTCTACTCGAATCACCCGGGCGCTCGAGCGCTACTGTCGGGGATCAATACTAGGGTACCCAATGAGGAGGAGCTAATGATCACCGACGTTGATTCATTCACAAGATCGAGAGCGTGGTTACGCCGCTTGTCGGGCTCCGCCTCACCCGACGTCTGAGGGATAGCTCCGTCTCGCCTGACGTCTGAGGGAAGACTATGTCTCGCTTGACCCCCGAGGGCAGGCTCCGCCTCGCCCGACAACCGAGGACGGGCTCCACGTCGCCCGACGTCCGAGGATGGACTCCGCCTCGCCCGACGTCTGAGGGCTGGCCCCGCCTCGCCCGATGTCTGAGGGCTAGCCCCGCCTCGCCCGACGTCTTAGGGCCAGCTCTGCCTCGCTCGACGTCTGAGGGCGGGCTCCGCTTCGCCCGATGCCTATGATGACATTACCACCATACCCACCCAGGAATCAGGCGGAGCAGATAAGGCAAAGCGCTCAAAGTCAACTGCAATACCGAGGACCGTACCCTATACACCTGCAGGACAGTGCCGTTAGGTCATGTTAGAAGGGTATTTTAAAACATTCCTGGCATGTCAAAGCCCAAACAGTATTGTGAGCGCCGACATTTGCCTTACAGTGTTGTAGGCGCCGTCATTTGCCCTCGGGCACGGACCCTTACGGAAGCTCACGACAGCCGCTACGGTCCAGAAGGAAACTCGCATCGTCCGCAATAACAGATGTGCGGTCACTGTGCTGCCTGCTCCCTGTAGGGTCGCTGGTTAGCACGCTGGTCCCGCACGTCGCCCGCCGGAGCAGGATGGGACGTGACGACCCACTGACAATGCCAGGACATGGCATCATCAGCGGACAGGCGCCCAGCATAGCTCTGTCAGGATCAGCGACCAGCGTGGGGCTATCCCTGCCACCACCTGCCATGACAGCGGGACCCGCACAGAGGAAAAGGAAGACCCGACGTCTTTGAAAGACTTCCTTTGCCTCTTGATTTACTCTTTCTCCCGTCTGTAGTCACTGCTCTCCCTTGGCCTATAGAAAGGAAGGCAGGGAATCCCACTAAGGGGATCGATTTAGCGCATCACGCATCACATCACACATAGCAGAGCAGCAACCAAACTCTCAGCACCCATTCGACCTTTGTATCAGAAACTTGGGACCTGTCCCTCTCTCGCTCATTTATAACCCCTACTATGAACTTTTCATTGCTAATAACTCGAGTAGCAGTCACGAACTAAACATAGGGACATTCTATCCGAACTAATATAAATCTTGTATCCTTTTAGCATACCATCCGGACTAAACACATAATAATATAAAATTTACTCGGTGTTTACTCGAAACACCGACGCTAGCCTAGCCGCCAACCAAGGTTTTCTCTTGTCTCGACATTTTCGTCGTAGAGTGTTTGGAGGATTTCTTGTTTTTTCTATTATCTCTTTTGTTCGTGGCTTTGTATAGCTGCTCCATCGTATATAATATATATGAACGTGTCTTTTTCAAAAAAAAAAAAGTCCGGCAAACGATTGCTAATTTGGATTTGGGGAGCACGAGGAACGAACGGCAGGTGGATGCTCTGTGGAAAACAGATCCATCACCCATGAATATCCGGTCTCGGTCGAGAGCGCCTTGAGTTCCTTATTTTTTTTCTCCTTAATGTTCTATAAAACGAGGAACTTATTAGAAATCTCTAAAAAAGATTTCTAAAAATTATGTAAATTATTTTTTGTAGATGCTGTAAACCAAGCACAATCCATTTTATTTGGATCTTGCATTATAGATTTTGTAGTTTTGAAATTAAAACTCTTCCTAGAATATTTTTTTTATTTTCAGCAAAGCAGTTTAGCCTCTAAACATTTTTTGAGAATCTAGGAAAAACAATCAAATTCATGTTTAGTATTTTGTCATACAAACTTCAGTACTAGAGCTATGATAAAGATCAAAGTTCCTTCACAAAGCACGTATGGGAAAAATAAGGTTTTTATTTGAAATTAATTTCAAAATTATTCAAACCAGGTTCAATCAATTTTTTTTTAGATGCTCACATACTTGACATATAATTTGAAACTGGATCATTGCAATGAAAACTTCAAATCTTGAAATATACATTAATTAAACGAACTTACTAACGTCAAATTTTGCATGGCCTCGTTTTCAACAACAATCCTGCACAAACTGAAGTACTCCATTGTTTACGTGAATGAAATTGGCGAGAAGTTGACAAGTCGACGCGTGGGCAAAATTTTCAAAAACAGCTGAAATCCATTATTTTATTTTCCACATTGTCACGATAAATGCCTGTGACGGTGGCGCACAGCAAGCCACGCCCACGATGATTCTGAGAGCTAGTACCAAGGGACGCCGGCACGCGTCACGGCTGACGGCTCACGGGGCATTGATGAAGGCGACCATCTTGTCCATCATCTCCTTGGCCTTGTCGCAGTCGGGTTTGAAGAGGTAGAAGACGTGGCCCTCTCCCATGGTCTCCAGCAGCTCGACGCCGGCGGCGGCGGCGTCCCTGACCCCGAGGCCGCCGCCCCTGGCCGCGGCCACCGCCTCGGCGTACGCGCGGCCGCGCCACCTGAGGAAGTCGCCCTCCGCGGCGCACACCATGACGCGCTCGCACGCCAGCGTGTGGAGCCCCGGCGCGGCGGGCGCCATGGGGTTCATCCGCGGGTCGTCCATGCCGCTGGTCTCGGGGCACGCGAAGAACCAGAGCCCGGCGCCCATGGCGCGCGCGGCGGGGTCCGCGGGCTCCTCGCCCACGGCCTCGGAGCCCCAGAACCAGGGGTGGATGAGCACGGCGCCCTTGAGCGGCGGCGGCGGCGGGCGGGCCTGCTGCTGCTGCTGCTGTTCCTGATGGACGACGACGTCCGGGTGGATGGCGAGGTGGTGGCAGATGTTGGCGCCGGCGCTGTCCCCGGCGACGAAGACGCGGGCGAGGTCCCCGTGGGCCGCGACCCAGGGGTCGGCGGCGGAGAGCACCCACTTGAGCGCGGCGAGGCAGTCGTCGTACCCCGCGGGGAGCGGGTGCTCCGGCGCCAGGCGGTAGTCGACGGAGACGACGAGCGCGGGGCAGGCGGCGGCCAGCCTGTTGAGGAAGAGGTGGTAGCCGGGCGACGCGGCGGACTCGGCCACGAACCCGCCGCCGTGGACGTACACGACGATGGGCAGCTTGGCCTTGGCGCTGTCGGCCACGGGCGGCAGGTAGAGGCGGGCGGAGTAGGAGCCGAGGTGGACGTCCTTGGACTGGACCCCCGTGGCGGCGTCGTGGCCGGGATCCACGGGCGGGGCCACCAGGGGCCGCTCGATGCGGCCGCTCTTGTAGATCCGGAGCAGCGGGCCGAACTCGCGCACGACCTCGTCGGACGGGTCGGGGGCGGGGACGGGGAAGGGGAACGATAACGAAGGCTTGGACGACGCCATGGCGGACGCGCGCGCGCTCGTGAGAGGTGGAGGTGTGGAGACGAGAACTGAGAACCGCGGGCTGTGGGACTGCGCTTTGCGTGCTTTGCCTTGCTGCTCGCGTCGCGTGCCCGGCGAGGTGGTTGGTTGGTAGCGGACGTGCGGACTCTCTGAGGTTTTTAGCCCGTTTGCGTGGAAGGAACGGGTGCAGTGGAGCAGCACTCACCGACAAGTTCGGCCACGCGCGACGTGGTCGTGGACTCGGTCTACGCGTCTCCGTCGTTGCTGACTGCTGACCTATGTGCGGCGGCCAGTGATCCGTCCGGGTTTCACTTCAGATCTGAAATGCTGAATTGATTACGTCGGGGCCGCACAAAGTCTCTGCACGTTCTTCAACTTTTTCTCTTTCAGGGCCTGGTTTAGATTACAAGTTTTTTCACTCTTTCTCTATCACATTAAATTTTTGACACATGTATAAAGAAGTATTAAATATAGATAAAAAAATAATTAATTATACAGTTTGATTATAAATTACGAGACGAATCTTTTGAGCCTAGTTAGACTATAATTGGACAATAATTATCAAATACAAACGAAATTGTTACAGTATCAAATACTGATTTCTTACCCTCATCTAAACGAGGCCCAGATTGCAGAAGAGGAATTCATTCACTCAGCCTTTTTGTTTGCTCGTAAACGAATCGTAAATTTCCAGCCGAGAACCGTGTTTTTCTCTCACACTAAACCAGCCAGCGATAAATAATCTACGATACGATACGGCCTTCCGAACAGGCTGACTACCTTCTAGAAGACCTGCTGTGATACTACTACTAGTATTTTCTACCGGGAAAAAAAAATCCCCCGTCCTTGAATATGCCATTCGCTTTGTTTATTGCAACACGTGGACACCTCATCAACTCCAAGGTCCTTTTTATACGCTTTCTATTTCAAATTATAAATGTCTGTTTGAAACTCGATTTTTTTCTTGTTCGTATGTTTTCTCTATAAAATTAAATTGTTTCCCATGAAATTCCTATCCGATTCTTATGAAAAGATATAAAGAAAGTGCACACAAGATATAAATAAACTATTAGAAGATGAAAAGATATATAAAACTATTTTTATACCTAGTAGCTCTTCGAATGATAATTTAAAGAGCGAGTCTAGAAGAGACTTTTGGAGACGCTTTTATTATCCAAGACAAGTTCATTTGGTGGTATCAACTGCCAAGGCAAACAACAGATTGTAGTGATGGGCTCGGTACAGATGAAGCTAGGGTCAAGGTTGTAAGAGTCTATTTGGATCGTGGGTTAGCATGCAGCTCATCAGCTAATCAACAATCTTAGCCTTACTAGGCGACCAAATTTAGGAGATGTTTGGATGCCGCCCTCGTCTGGATGTGCCTGCTAGGCAAGCGATTCTAGCCCCAAGCGATCGAAATCGAACGCCGGGAGACGCTGCCTGGCGCCAGAGCTGCCTGAGGCAACATGCAAACCGGCCTCAAATGTCTGAATTCGTGCCTGGCCAGGCAGATTTGTTTAAGGACCCAACTAAACAGCCCCTAAAACGTTCTTTATTGGGTTTAATGACTACCAGCCTAGCATGGCCTACTCACTTGCAATATGCGCTACCCGACCCAAAACGGGATGATACCTGGCCTGGTGGAGGCTGTGAATAGACCTAAATATTTGTAGCTTGGCCCATAAACGCTTAATGGACAAGGCCTATACAGCGAAACATAAATCTAAAATGAATTTCTCGGTCTAAATATATTTCCTCTCTTGAAGGCAGCAAAGATCGGCGAACAACGACAGCATCCATATTAGGCTAAAAATTTTCACCGTCCAATAAAAAATTTAATTGGCTTTCCTTATTAGCTAAACACTCTATTATAAATCAAATTAGCGTCTGGCCTAATGCAGCCATTGGATGGATATTGACATGATTTTTCGACTCGAAAAGAACTGGGGTGTCTATCGGTTCGTCCCACGAAATGGCGCTAGTGTACCATTCCACACAACCAAGTTTACACTCTTATCACCTGTTTTGAATTTATATCTCTTTCTAAGGTCAACGGCTTTATTAGTCGTGCTTATTTTTCCATGGATAGTTAGGTGGTGTTTAAATTCAGGGAGTAAAATTTAGGGATATCATATCGGGTGTCATATCGGGGTGTCACATGGAATTGTTCGGATAATAATAATAAAATAAATTACATAAGTCCTCAGTAATCCGCGAGACGAATTTATTAAGCCTAATTAATCCGTCATTAGCATATGTTTATTGTAGCACCACATTGTCAAATCATGCATGTGTCCATATTCATTCTTTACTAGCCACTGCTGCCCGCGCTTCGCTGCGGGTGATATGCTTGGTATAGGAAAAAATTTAAGAAATATGGCTTATATGTCTAATATGTTTTCTCATCGTGTTGGTACGGAAGGTTGGTCTCAATATTATAAACGAACATAGAGGTTGGTTGTCATTACATGATGCCTATTCTAAGCCAGCAAATCAATGATATGTTAGTGGAAAGAAATATTTGATGGAGTTGGACTCAAACAACTAACACACTTAGATTTAAAGTACAACATTAGATAGGATTATATTATAGGTGGAAATAGCAAAAACTACAAAACAAGTACTTCTCCTAACGTGAGGGTTTACAAAAAAGTGAATTAGGATCCACTCCCCTTAGACGAAACTACAACACGCATCCAACAACTACGGACGACAACAACGGTAAGAGTACAATACAGGAGAACAGCGACGAAAAGCACTACTACTACGGGTACAGCATCCCAAGGCAATTAATCTACCTTGGAACCACGCATCTTTATTCCTGTGCTCGGCGGATTCTTCTACCGCCCTAGCTATGGATCTGTATCTTCTCGTGGCAATGGCTGAGTGAGAGGAACCAAGGGTTCTGCTTCTAACACTTCCAAAGGTGGAGGTGTTGGCGGTTCTACATCACCGGTTCTCCTTCTTTCAGGCGGGTGGATAGGGATCTCCTCCAAGATCGGGGCATCCTGCCTTTCATCAACCAGCGTCCTCCGCTTGGCCCTAGTGAACAGATAGGCCTCACCCAGCTGATGAACATGCCGATCTTCAACCTCCTTCAGAGCTTCTGACATGGCAGTCTCCCGGCTCTCAGCAGCTGCAGCACTGGCATGCGCTTCGGCGAGCTGCACCTAGAGCATCCGAGTGAAGATCTCGGCTTCTTCGGCGCACCGGAGGCACGCCCTCAGCTCCAAGGCTTGCCGGTCATACTGCTCATCCAGAGCAAGCAGGTACATGGTCAAGTGCACCACGGTAGGACTATCTTCTTGCGCATCCCGCCCTTGTAAAGCCTCCATGCGAGCCCTCCATGTCCGTCGATTCCTATCCAAGGGTGGAAAGAACCTCATAGGGGTACGGGCAACGGGCTCTTCATAGAGATGGCAAAGGTACCACAAGGCTTTGCGAGCCACAACCTGGTAGGTGTCAGTGAAGCTAAACCCGGTTGCGGTCACACTCCAGGCTTCGGTGATGTCGAGAAACTCTTCACTCTTCCCAATGTAGACGGTAACCTCACACCGATCGGTGCCATGCTTCTCATACTCACGGCCCTCATACTCGGGACGATCTTTGACTCCGAGCCTTTACAGGGTGGCATGCAGGATTCTAGGAAAACCCTCAACGTTTAGGCAGTAACTACTAACCCAGGCTCCTGCCATTTCTGGCGGTGGCTACAAAGAAGGGCTGAGCAAAAAGCTTGCTCAAAGGGAAAACCTAAGCGAGCTAAAGTGCGCCGAGTGGTGATTCCAATGGCTAAGCCAGGCTCTGCTTATAAAGGCGGAGCAGTCTGTGGTCCTGGCGCGATTCACCAGGGTTCCTGCGCGGGATCACTACGAACGAATCGATCAAATTCCGCGTGTTCGAGGCGAGTGACGTGCGGTGCCATTACTGAGTAGTATGACTGTAGGGCAAGGGTCCAACAAGAGCGTAGAAAAGGGGTACGAGGAGACGTGGGTCACTACTGACGTGACTCACGGGCGAACGCGGAGCATAAAGCCACAGTGCAGACCTAACTCTATAACAAGCACGAGTAGGCCATGCACACTACGACACGCGTGACACCTATGGATGGCGTATTTGCCAGCAATACGGCACAATAATGCACAAACAGGCTATGCATTAATGCACATCCTATGCGTTCGAGGTGAGCGATGTCCGAGGCCATTAATGACTAATACGACTGCAAGCCAAGGTTCGACAAGAGACCAAAAAAGAGTGCGGGGAGACTTGGGTCATGGTAGGCGTAACCGCAGGCGACGCAAAGCACAAAGCCACAAGGAACGAGCGCCTCTGCAAGCATGGATGCAGATGCAATTATGGTAGCTGTAGTAATGGCGACCAACCCCAACCACCGACCATCTCGGGAGCAACGTGCACACAACCCAAGCCGTGTCTTAGATGCATAGATGCATGTGTAAGTACAAATGGTCATGCATGGTCGGTGAATCGTTTTTATCTGATGGTAAGGAGAGGCATTAAATGTGTCCACCTGCCCGACTTGTTTTTATCCGATGGTAACATGAAGGAGAGGCATCAAATGTGTTCAACTGCTGTCGACCCACCCTGCGTAGGTGAAGATGTCCAGTGCTTTTAAACTTACTTAGTGAATTTCTGAATATCTTAGGGAATGGCTTCGGACACTGCTTGTTTTGTGCATGTAAATATCCTACCGCTTTCCTTTTATTGGTCTCCGCACCAGACTAAATAGTGGACTGCGCCAGGGACCAATGACCGCTCCACCATTATAAAAGCCCAGTGGTGCTCAAAGAAAAAGCTAAGCGAGCTAAAGGGCGCCGAGTGGTGGTACCATTGGCTAAGCCAGGCTCTGCCAATTCCACTGGTGCTACGATAAACTATATTCGGCAGATCTAAGTGGCTCCAGTATCACAAAAAAACAAATGGTGCTTATTCGGTACGTAGCCAAAGGTTTCAGGGGCACGCAGCCCAGCCGTACAAACCAAATGGTGCTTATTCAGCAAGCTAAGTGGCCCCAGTATCACCACAAATCACACTCATTGCCCACGTAACCAAATCAACACCCTCTCCTTGCAAACCCTAGCTTATCCCCTGGCTAGAGCCCCCCACCGAGCAGGCGAGCACATCTATGATCTATCTAAGACGACTGCTGCACGTTAAGAAGCGGATCGTTCATCATAACATTAATTACAGAACAGCCGAGGATTACCGTGTTTTCTCTTCGAATTTCTATTCCTACTATTCACCACCGCACAAGATTTGTGACAAGTGCTATGAAACCCTGATTGCAGCACCTTCGACCACCTGCAGGTCCCTCCAATGGCCCTGCCCCATCCAAGTATACTAACACAAGTGACCCTTTGTAAGGTTTCTTTGTACATTTTGTTTCTCTTCGAATGATTGCACGTGGCATGACTTGATAAGTACACCAGTTAGCAGCCTTCATGTGGGCCACTGGTCAGATAATAATAACCAGATTAGTGTCTGATGTATAATGAAAAGTAGTTCATCGAAATGCTCAGCAAAATCAAATTTCTGAGAACTGATGGAGACCATAAAGAGTGCTGCCTTACTGTTCATTTTTTGCAGCACATCAATATTGCCCAAGGAAAGGCTCAAGCTAGTGTGACCTTTTTGCCTTTGGACTCTCTTGCCTGCACCGAATTCTTCCAGTAATTATTCGTTGAATCTCATCATGTAGCAAAAAATACTAACCAGATACTGGAACTTTTCAACGAAAACATCATGGTTTAACTTTTGAGGATTTAAAAATGAGAATGAGGTGCACCTTTGTCGAAATAGACTTCCTGGATGACACGAATTCACCAAACTCTCTATCATACCGCTTCTTCTCGTCTGCTGGTGTGGAAGGTCTAGCCTTCCTAGTGACAGACATGAGAAGTTCTTTGCTGATGCATGGTTCTCTTTCTGGGACACCGTTCTCCTGGTTGTCCAAAAGTTCATGAACTGCTGCTAATCCAGCATCCGTTAGAATAGCAGCCAGATCAGCACCAGTAAATCCTTCAGTTAGAGAAGCAACATCTTCGAGACTGGCATCACTTGCCAGCGAAACCTGAAGACATTAGAAAAGAAGCAACCATTGACAACATTAATGACAATGACAATAACACTCTCATAGTCTCGTGAATTCATACGGATTCACAATATGCATAAATGTATTAACCTTATCAGCTTAAAATCATTCACAAAGTTGAACAAGATTGCAAATGAGACCCCAATCAAGAGAGGCTGAAAAGCGGGCAAGACAAAAGGTAGCGCTGTTCTAAAGATGCAAGATAACAAAGAAAACACATAATGCCTGGAAATTTTGGTGAAATTAGATATTATGACGTGAAATCTCTCAATCATGACAGTCAACACAGGAAAACGTCACAGAAGCAACAGCAACCATTTTCCAGAAAGAAGGCTCACCGTCCTAGAATGCACCTTCAGAATTTCTAAACGTTCATCCCATCGAGGGAAATCACAAAAGACTAGACGATCAAACCTTCCAGGCCGCAAGAGCGCAGCATCAATTAGCTGTGGGTTGCTGTGCAAAACAATAAGCAATCCCATCAAAAGACGCAACACAAAATAATTAAATAAACAAGCTACTTAGTCACAATTTCCCTAAGATCAGCCCAAAAAATATCTTCACGGCATTTTCATCTCTCTGTAAAAGTACAGAATAAAAGAGCTCGAGACTAGGACCGCAGAAACTATAACAGTTGGCATGCTTTGCACAGCTAACCTCGTAGCTGCAAATACAAATACTCCAGTCAAGGTTTCCACGCCATCCAGTTCCGTCAAGAACTGCATACAAACGAAAAATGCACACTTAGATTGTTCTTTTGTTTTCTGGAAATAACAATTAAGATAAGACAATTTGTCATTATAGCAGCAAGGAGAGTATGAGACAGTTGATTACCTGATTAACTACACGATCAGAAACACCAGCACTATGGGCTCCTCGTTGGGGTGCAATGGAGTCAAATTCATCAAAGAATAATAGGCAAGGTGCTGCTGCAACGGCCTTTGCAAAAAAGTCGCGAACCTGGAATTGGTTTACTAACATTACAAACGAGATGATCTAGGTGTCTTCTGTAATTCTGATCAACACCTATACTCGTAACTGGAGAACAGGGTTGTGTAAAAAAGCTACAAGGAAATATTCTAAATCTTCAAATATCTTTACCATAAGAAAAAGGGAAAAGGCATAAACGTTTGTGTAATGCTCAAAAGAATGAAAAGTTCCTTACAGATTGCTCAGATGAACCAATATACTTATTCAATAGCTCTGGACCCTTGACTGAAATGAATCGCAAAGAACAAGCAGCAGCTGCAGCTCTCACAATGTGAGTTTTACCACATCCAGGTGGTCCATACAAGAGAATGTTTGACCGCAACCGCACAGGTGCCTTGGTAAAGATATTTGGGTATTTTGATGGCAGTTCAAGAGTCTACAAGAAGGAACACAAATATAAGTAGGAACATCTACACCCTTAAAAGGTGCCTAGAAATATTTAGTTTTTTTCCCATGAGAGTGTTGATGAAACCAACACCCTTAAAACAAGAAAGCAAGAAGATGTGCGCCTCTTTAATGATAGTTACTGCTTCATTTATCCCTCCAACATCCTCCCAACCACCATCTTTATCATCAGGAGCATATTTCCTAAGCTCACGCATGGCGACTGGAAGGAAGCCATGCATTGCTTTAGAGGAATCTCCATCAGCAAAGTTCATTTCAGAGAGCTGTGAGAAGCATTAGAAGGCAGAAGAAAGCGATAAGCGGCAGCATGCACAGCCCTATCAACCAAAATTTCCTGCGACACAATAGCATACATATAAGATGAATACCTTTTTCTCACCTCAATCCATGCAAAAGAATATTTGTCTGCTGCTGTGAATATTTGTGACTTTGGTTCATAATCATAACTACCTAAGAAGCACGTTTTTCCTTTTTTTTTGGTTGTTGAAAGAATCGGTCCATAATTATGATCACGAAAAATATGATTAAGTTGGTTATAAAGACCATTGTATGATAAGAGTTAGAATTACCAAGTCATATGCATCATAACCTCCACATTTTGATGCTATCTCTGATAGAACCTCCTCAGAACACAGTTAACTCATGGTCCTCAACTTGATGCTGCAATAGTGCTTTGCGCTCAGGGACTGCAAGAGCAGGAAGCTCAATATGGAAATCAAATCTCCCTGCAGGGTAAAAATGTGTTTTTATTAGTATACTTGAAGTCACTGACTCAACCAGCACACCTTAAAGAAAATTAGAAAAAGAAGTAACCAGAAGAGGTTAAGTCTTGAGGAAGACTCTGAAGTGATTGAACTGAAGCCATAAACGCGATAGGTCCATACCCGCATGTATTTCGAATCTTATCCTAGAAAGCAGTCATGCCATTAAAAATAAATAAATAACTACTCACAGGGAAAAGGATAACATGGTAAAATAATTGTAACAACCATAATCAACACTTATTCTTAACAAATTTCAACAATGTGAATAAAGAAAAGTGTAATGACATATCTTTACCTTGTACTCATCCATAATGTCAGACAAATATCTCACAAGAGAATCAGAAGAACTGGACGATTGAGACACTTGAGGATCTGAAGAGACTGAAATTACACCGTCCAGATAATCAAATATGATGATCGAAGGTGAATGAAGCAGTGCTTCGGACATTCTGTCTTCAATTTCTTGCCTTGTCTCCTTAGCCTTGCCAAGTGCAAGTTTGGAACAATCTATGTATATTCTGTTCTTCAAAAATTAGATGATATCATTAAATTGCAATGTTCTTCCTTTCAGAATAAGAAATTTAATTTTAAACCTGATCGCTTGGTGTTTCACAAGCATCTGTTGCTTGCAGGATGGATTCCCTATTATTAATCTTATACCTCTAGCTGAAATTGCACACACTGTTTAGACATATACAGCAGGCTAACAAGTATCCTAGTCACACTAAAGGAATAACTAAGCAAAGCACTGAAAAAATACCTTATCTGATTTTTTTTAGATCAAATACCTCATCTAATTTTTTTAGACGAAATACCTTATCTGAATTAACTTAGATGATACATATATAACCAGCCCCAAATCTACCGCTCGAGAAACACATGCTTCAACAGTTATGAAATCCATCTTTGCACTAAAGGTTGCAGACAGAGAAGAGAAGAGCAATCACTGATGTTCAACATGAATAGAAACCATACCACGATACTCTGAGTGTCTCGACACACCACGACGTGCTCCACCATCACCACCAAAGCCACTTGAACGATTATACGAGGAAGTATTACCTCTACCACCATGAGCAGCCTCCACCTGACCACAGAAGTAGGCATTGGATCAACAGATTGAAGAGAAAGACAGCAATCATGTAGCTTATCGACTGATTAGCTTACTCTTAGACGGTGTCCATCAAAGTTGTATCCATCCCGCCCAGCAATTGCATCCTCAGCATCACGAGGATCTTCAAACTACAAGATTAGCAAAGTACCCTAAATTTGCTGTTCGTGACCAAAGTCATCAACCAAAACACGATAATCTTTTGAGGGGAAAATATGACCATGTTATTCAACACATTCAGATGAATCTTACCTCAACAAGAGATAAGCACCATGGTGTCCACTGTTGGTGGACCACGTCGCGGCGGAGGCGCTATGCCGCGCTGCGCGGTCCGGCGGGGGCCGCGGGAGGACTGAGGACAGCCAGGTCGGTGCTCCGGCGCAGCCGTAGGAGGGCACAGGCGGGTTCACGTTCTGGCGGGGTCGCGGGCCAGCGACGGTGCTGCTGCGCCGGGGCGCTCCGGCGGGTCGCGCGGGAACCGGCAGATTTTCCCGCGGCTGGGGCGGGGCCGCGGGGCTGGAGCGGTGCGCAGCCAGGTGAGAGTGGTGAAGCGGTGCCACACCGCACGACCGTCGGAAGGCGCAGGCGGGGTCGCGGTCCGGTGGTGGTGCTATGGTGCCGCGCTGAGCGGACGGTGGAGGTCGCACGGGAGGCGGCAACCGCCTGTGCGCGTGCGTGCGGCCGCGCAGCAAAGCTGGGGCGGCACCAGTCCTGCCGCCTGCTGTGCTCCCCTGCAGCGGGGCTGCACCAGGGCGAGGTGGCAGGGAGGGGGAGACCGACAGAGGGGAGGTCAAAGAGGCCGTGGCAAGAGGCGATGGCGAGGAGGGCGGCTGCGGCGGTGACAGGGTCATGGAGCTCGTCGGGGGTAGGGTTGCAGGGGGAAGGAGGGAGGAGCAGAGGAGGGGGAGGCCGGCGGGGAGGGACCGGTGCCGGCGGCGAGGTGGAGCTCGTCTGGCTAGGGTTGGAGGCGGCGGGTTCGGGTGCCTGTGCAACTGAGAAAAGGAGATGGGGATGGGATAAGAACCGGAGACGGGGTGCCGATCGTACAAATGTTCCTGGCCCCAGCATCATCGCATGCGTGCCGACCATGACGGTAATTAGGCACCGGCCATGCATGCCGACGATCCATCGTCCTCTGCTACGCGCCATCGTCCATTTGCATGTCGCGTACAATCACCAGTGACACCTGCTTTATCTATCCACTGCCGAATGCACGGAGGAAGGCTGGTTGTGACGCGCGTCATCTGAGTCGTGGAATTTCGATCTAACGCACCAAATAAAAAGAATGTACGTGGACATCGTGAGAGGCCGCCGATTCGGCGTGCCTTCATATCTTTAATTGGTTGGTTAATGCTATGACCTTGGGTTATATATGGGTCCAACCTTTGTCTAACTGCTATGAGCCTATGACCTTGGTTTATATATGGGTCCAAGATTTGGTCTAATAGTTCATATACTGTTGTAAAATCCACTTTAGCGCATCCCGCTTTGCATGTGTTTAGAATGATACTCTTAATCTCTCACCCTAACACTTAATCATAGACTAATCACTCATTCTCACAAAGAGAGGGTTGTGGAGAGCTCTAACATGGCCTGGAATGTGTTTAGAATGATCTGGAGATCAACAGAATCACCATGGGCCGTGGGATGGGTATATATACCGACCCCAAAAACTAGCCATTTGAACTCAAAAAACTAGTCGTTATGACCTGTAGGGTTAGGCACTTTTGCCTTCGCGCCATGGCATTTCTACATTTTTTCATGGCACTTCCGCATCCTGCAAAAACAACACAGATCACCTCACAAAAAACGCCATAACTTTTTACTCCAAACTCGTTTTCAGTGATCTTGGACTTTCCGAAAATCTTGTTTCGAGGGCTTTCCAACCCAATCAAGAACAAGCCCCAAGACCAACAAGTGAAAGTGTTGTGCCCAATGTTTCTCTTATGTTAGTACTCGTGGTTCGATTAGTTTGAGAACTTGAAATTTGTCTATGATTCGTATTGCATCTCCCTTGATAGTACGACATACCTATACTCAAGATCAACATAATATAACCACTTCAACCACTTGAGTCTTCAATGTCTTCATATGCCATTTCTTCTTAATATCACTTCATAAGGTGTTGCAATCATCTTTGTTTCATCTCTTTGAGCAAACCACCTTTGAGCATGTGACTTGAACCATTTCAACACATTTGAGTCCCTTTCATGGTGATAAGGGTATGGATGTCCCAATCTTTTGGTAATGAGAGGGATAGCTCCGATTTCACTGGAGAGATGTTCATGACTCGACTACAACCATCCAAGGATGCTGCGTCTTAGCGATTGATACACTAATTCCAGCAGTTGCTCACGATCTTGTGAATCACAACTAACGAGATCCTAAAATATGGGTATGTTAAGCCTCGAGTCCAATGGTTCCTGAACAAAGAAGACCCCCCAACCGATCCCTCTAGGATCTCCCGGGGGCTATACCCATCGGATACGCTCACGTGCACCCTCTAAAGAACAAACCCTGTCGAGCCTGACTACGACGTGGTCTCCGCTTGGGTCTTGGGGGTTTGCTCGAGCCCTGAGGCTCCCGATCTACGACAACACTCTAGCTCGGCCCTTGGCTACTGCCTGGCCAATGACGCCAACCAAGGCCCCAGCGCAAGAAGACGCGCCCCAAGCTACCGAGGCTCAGGGGCTCCCCAGCGCTGCCCCTTGGGCACGACATTGCCGACCACTTTTTTGACAAGGTCATGCACGAGGCGTGACATAATAAGACAAAGCTTCCCCACGACCTCTAGGGGCTCAGAGGCCCCTGGGCCCACGCGTTAGCCCATGAAGCCGACCTCCTTCACTGCAAAGAAGACTCTAGCCTGACATGCAGAGTGTCAGAACAAAGCAGTCGGACGATGCTCAAGGCTTCTTTGGCTCCACGACACCGCCACGGTCCACAACGCGTCGCTACAAGGCCCTCTTGGACTCCGGTGCATGTAGACCATAGACTAGTTCCCCCAAATCATCATGTACCCGACCTATCTTGTTATATACGGGATAAGGTCAAACTTAGGGGGGGCCATTATCCAAAGATGAATCATTCCACTCCATTCCATTCCTTGGCCTTTGCTTAGCACCGAGAGCAAGGCAACCCAGAGAGGGGCACCAAGAGCTCCTCCATCGCATCCCGTCGTCTTCCTCCTCTCCGACGAGGGGAAGACTCCACCGGTGGCGAGGCAACCTTAGGATTAGCACCGAGCTAACCTCCTACCAAATCTCTCTACAACCCTATTGTAACCTGAAGGGGACCGTGACGCCTAAGAGGGGGGGGTGAATTAGGCAACTAAAAATTCTAACTCTAAACTATGGCCTCTAATTCCAACCTTAGCAAAACCTATACAAAAGATAAACTATCTAAATGTGCAACTACGGTTTTACTAGTGTGTTGCTATCTCTACCGCAAAAGGAGTAATGTAAACAACGTAAATGCGGAAGCTAAAGAGCAAGGTAGAGATATGCAAACTCTAGTCGATGACTTCGGTATTTTTACCGAGGTATCGAGAAGCATGCAAGCTTCCCCCTAGTCCTCGGTGGAGCCCCTCGCAAGGAATCCCTTGCAAGGGCCAAGCTCCTGGTCGGGTAACTCCATGGATAGCCTCGGGCTTTCCCCATGCGCAAGTGGGTCTCCGACGTGCCTTCCGGCAAGCCTCCCCCGGATGCTCCCCGCCGTCTTCATTATCAAGCTTCCGGCCAAAATGTCGTGGGCCTTGTTCCCTCCGGTACATGGTAGCGGCCACACCACAAACGCGGTTGGTGTGATATCGCAAGACTACAAGCCCCTTCGATGTACAACAATAGTGCGCGTAAGCACCGGGTAGTAAGAGGTTTGCAAACCTCACTAAACACTAGGCCTAAACCTAGAGCAAGCGCATAAGCGGTGGTCTAATCAACCTAAGCACTTCGCAAAGCACCTACGTTAATCACCTAATGAATCACTAAACACTATGCAAGTGGAGATCACTAAAATGGTGTACTAGCACCCTTGGTATGTTTCCTCAGCTCCACCCTACTCAAATGGCCGGTTTGGGAGTCTATTTATAAGCCCCATGGAGAAAGTAGCCGTTGGGGATGAAATCCTGCTTTTCTGCTACTGACCGGATGCTGCTGTCGTCCTGTCCGAATGCGTCCGGTCGTCTCAACTGTGAGAGCCGTGATCAACTGATCGGACGCTGCCGGCGTCCGATCACATGCCACTGGACGCGTCCGGTCGTAATTTCGCCGCTCTAAAACCTCTTTGTACTCGATCGGACGCTACAGTCCTGTGTCCGGTCGATTAGCCACCAGCGTCCGATTAGTGCTGAACGTGTTGCCGGGATGATGAATAGTGCCATCGGTGCGTCCGGTCACATTAGTGTTCAGCGTCCAGTCGTTGTTGCTGACGCTTGCTGTTGTTGAGCCTCTTGATCGAAGCGTCCGATCGATCACCTTCCAGCATCCGGTCACCACTATGAGCTCGTTTCTTCGCAATCCTGCATCTGGCTTGGTTCCTATCTTTGTGCTTGAACTATGCTTGATATCTTGGGTCTTCTCTTGTGCTTCTAAGGTCTTGCTTATGGTGTTGATCAACGGATTATCACGTCGCCTTCGTCCAAGTCACGTCTTGCACCCTATTGGACTACAAAACAATCACTTGCAAATTTATTAGTCTAATTTGGTTGTGTTGGTCATCAAACACCAAAATCCAAAGTAAATGGGCCTAGGGTCCATTTTCCTTACAATCTCCCCCCTTTTTTGGTGATTGATGACAACGCGACCAAAGCAAGTAAATAATAAAATTTTGGAATTTAAAAACTATCTACTTGCTAGGATGCAATGCAAAGGGCAATGTTATATGATACTAAAAAGATACCACTTGTAAGACTAAAAGATGCCAAATGAAGATACCAATTGTAAAGCTAAAAGGTACCACATGTAAACATCTTTTGAAAACTTATCTTGCCCTTGCAAATGTCTCCATGTGGCATTATGGATTTAGGCCTTGCTTTTTGGTCCTACAAATTCTCTCCATTACATAGACTAATCCATAATCCACTATCATCCCTTTCTCGGACCATTACCACTTGTAAATTATTATGATCGGGCTTGGTCCTACAAATTAATGCTTGCTTTTGGTCCTCTAAATTCTCCCCTTTGGAATCAAACACCGAAAAGAAAGATATTAGTAGCACAAGGGAGGGTCAAACTTTGTGATCCTTTGTATGTGGAGTGGAATATGTCACAAAATTTGACTCTCACATTACATAGACTAAGCTCCCCCTAAAAATATGCATACACATGATGGAGAATAAAGTTTATGCATAATTGGCAAATTAATGCTCAAGGGAGTTTAATCTATATAATGCATGGAGAAAGCATATAAATACCAAAGTGAAATCAACATGATGATATCGGTTTAGAAATACCACATGTGGAAACCAATTTGATTTCTACCACTTGCAATTGGTGGTAGATATTTGAAGCATGATGCTTAACTCCGGGGACTCCATTTTCCTTGCAATGAGACTACTACACACATGATAAGCTTGAAAATGTGTTAGTCTCAAAGCATCCAACTTGTAGAGTAACCTCCCCCTAAATTTGTGCACACAAGTATGGAATACTTGTAGGAAACATGCACATTGATTTTAGAATCAACTGTACCACTTGAAAGATGACATCACATGAATGTGAGAATCATTTTTGAAGGTGATATTTGGGAGAAATTATCTACAATTTGAACTTTGGCACATATTAGATGAACAATTGTAAAACAAGCTATGTGCCGTGCTCCTAAACAATTCAAACCATGTAGGTTTGCTCCAAGGGTTAGAAGTGAAACCGAGCAAGCCTACCATAAGATATACCTAGTGTATGCATGACAAAAGATATAAGCATGCAAATGCAAACCTAGGCATGAAAAGTAAGTAGATGCTAAAAGATACTAATTGTAAGAAATACCACTTGTAGGAAATACAAATTGAAAGAAATTACATCTAGTTACCTAACATGGGAAGGAGAATTTGGGTCCATAGTATTCACTAACCCACTTGGCAATGACTTTGTCCATAATGATGCACCCCATGAAATGCACCCAAACTTTGTCATGTCTCCAAATTCCCCGAA